TGTTCCACCACTGCAACAACACCTTGCCTGCTGCCCTCAGCCCTCCTTCCATCAAGTGAACTACACCAAACACAAAGTCCACTGTCTGCCTACAAGCCAAGCATTGCCTGTTGCAACTTCTCCTGAAGCGTTCCTTTTTGCTTGATATGACTGTAATCAAATTTCACAAATTGCAGTGATGTGTTTTGTCAAGAAATGATCTGCTCTACTGAGTCTCATGTTTGGTGTTCTCCTTCTCTCCTTCTTTGTGCTGTAGGTTGGTTCTTCTCTCCCTGGACTCCCAGTCACGCTGCTTTGACCAGCCTCAGCCTGTTCCACCACTGCTGCCAACACCTTGCCTTGCCCACTGCCCTCAGCCCTTATTCCATCAAGTGAACTGCACCAGACATAAGGTCCACTGTCTGCCTTCACTACAAGCACTAGTACTGCCTACCCGCCTGCTGCAACTCCTGTTCTGAAGCATTCCCTTTGGCTTTATACAACTATATCATACAGTAAGCAAATAGACAATTTGTAGCAGTGTGCTTTCTCAAGAAATGATCTGCTATAGTCTCATGTTTGGTTTTCTCCTTCTCCCTCTTTGTTCTGGTTCTCCTGGACTGGCACTCACACCACTCCTATTGACCAGCCACTGGCATTGATGTTAGGTGATGTGAAAATGTGGGCCACAACAAACAATGTCATTTAAGAACACCCACCTTTCGCCATAACCTACTAATCACTGTGGCATCAAGGCACACTTGGTAGCCCAAAGAAACCTGTCCCCACCATGAAAGGGCTGCATAACTGTAAATCCTGTGAGCAGGAATTGATTGAGGAAACCTGTGCTTAGATATGCTTTCATGCCTCTGTTTATGCTATGTGGAGGAGAGTTGCCGACTGGTGGAGAGAGTTGGGTATGCAGCTGGGGTTTGGAAGAAAATGTACTTGTTCAAATGAGAGAGCAGCTACAGGACTTATGGATAGTAGATTTAAAGTGGATCTTCACCCTCTAAAACACAATCCCTCCTCTCCACTCCTCCTCTGGTCCTCTGCGTGGATAGCACTCTTTTTTTTTTTTAATAAATAGTCCGATTCCCCCCCCCCCTGCACATTTTTTGCACAGGTGAGTGAGGAGCACTGTCCTTCCTTTGCCTCCCGGGATATGCACGTCACATATTCCAGGAGGCAAAGCCCTTCATTCAGTAAATGTGGAGGGGGTGGGCCTAGCGGGTGTCAGCAGGAGGCTCGAAGGCTGAACCCAGAATAGCCAGCAGCCTCTTAATGACATTACATCAAAGCATCGCATTGTGGGACTGAGTGCTGCCAGAAAAGAGGATCTTAGCTGGACAACACTCGATACATTGAGTGGGTGAGTATCTGAAATGTGCAGTACTTATAATTATAAGTTATAAAAAAGAAAAAAATTAGGTGGAGCAGGTGGAAATCCACTTTAAGGTGGCCATATATGGATCTGCTTTTCTCAATCAGAAAAACTGACCAGATTCCCTAATCCACTTTCAGAATACACTTATCAGTGCTGCATCAAATTGGCTACAGCAACGATCAAACAAAAATTTTCCAATAAGCCTGTTCATGAGAGTCAATCAATAGAGAGTCAATCAATAGACTGACTTCTCATGAACAGGAACAGCCAAAGATGGATCAAAATTTGGTTGGTCCCTCCTGAACCAACTGCATTTCGATCTATCTGTGGTCAGCTTAATGGAGAGAAAATTGATGGCAAGTAGAATAATAGGAGAAAATCCATAATCCATGCAGACAGAATACAAAATTGAAGATACAAGCTGGCTTTAGTTTGTGGGTTTTTTTTTTTTTAAATGTCTTATGCATATCTCACAACCCCTACACTTTTTGTTCTCATTATAAACACAATCTTTATACAAATGTGTGAAAATTAACTCACTAAACTTTTTTGCAGAATGTTGAAAGCTATTCATTTGCAGGGGGACATTTTTAAAGCTGATCTACAGGTATGATCTTGATAGTATAGTTACATTAGTCCAGCTTATTTCATGATGGATCGCTGTGGAAGCTGACGATCATGACAAACATGGAAAAGGCATACTTATTTGGTCCAAGCAGAACCAATTGTAACTATACTTTTAAGATTATACCAGGAGTTCAGCTTTAAATATTTTTAGGCTTCAGAAAATTTGTATCATAACCTTGCATGCGCCAAAGGCCAGTAGTATGTATTTACTGATACAAGGCTGGAATTAGTATGTCTCTCACAAACTGAAACTTTACAATGCAAGAAAGATTCAACAATAGGCTCAAAAGAGTTTTTTTAGCAGGAATTAGAAGAGGTAACAGCCATACACTGACCTGCTAGAGTAAATGTAGGTTTCCCACATAGTAAAATGCCTCTGCAATGCAAGCTGGATTCTGTATTCATGCTCTGCATTGGAGACAAGAATAACCTCTAGAATTCCCCAGCGTATTCAGCATTAGACCAATGCCAATTCTGCAGAAGCTGTGTCCACATCCTAAGTTTCCAGGATCAGTGTACTTTTTTTTTTTATTAAGACAGATGGAACATCCAGATGATTTTTTAGACCAGCACATGCCATGGCTGTCAGCAGGATTGTGGATAAAGGGGTACCACCAGTCCTCTTGTACAGGGCCTAGGCCAGCAGGGGAGCCAGGCAGCTGGGTGAATCACATGTGAGCAGGGAGGGTGATCAGAATGACAGGGGGGGGCAATTACTGGAACTGATCCTCTGCATGGTGCTCTCTGCAGCAGCTGCAAGTTGGCTTCTTTTCCTCTCCCTCCTCCTCTGGCCCTTCTGCACCCATCACTCGCTCTGTGCACCATACGTTTCCCCTGCTGTCCAGGCCTCCCTGTGTGCCCCCCACCCCTGCAATGCTGCCGGGTTCCCTTCTCTCCTTTGCACTGGCAGCTTCAAGCACACAATAGAATACTTCCAGGAAATGAGATTCTTGAACATGGCCTGAGCGTAGAAAAGCCCGGAAGGTGCGTTCCATGAGTCCTGGCGTAAAGAGCGCAGATGAGATTTGAGAATTGAAGGTAGAGAAGTATGACACCACTGGGCTCGTTGAAGTGGAATCTGACTGAATCTGTTCAATATCTTCAATATCTGATTCTGTCCACAGTTTAGTGTCCCTATGCCAGCACCAGTCTATTAGTCATCCTAGGTGTGTTCTAGAGGTTATTCTTGTCTCCATTGATACAGGTAATGAGTGCAGGACAGAGGAGCCTCTTAAAGAAGAAGGTACAGGTCTGTGAGAGCCAGAAATCTTGCTTGTTTGTAGGTGACCAAATACTTATTTTCCACCATAATTTGCAAATAAATTCTTTCCAAATCAGCCAGTGTGATTGTCTGGATTTTTTTTCTCATTTTGTCTCTCATAGTTGAGGTCTACCTATGATGCCAATTACCGGCCTCTCATCTTTTTAAGTGGGAGAACTTGCACAATTGGTGGCTGACTAAATACTTTTTTGCCCCACTGTACCTTGGATATCAGGATTCTTTCTGACTGTAAAAAGAAAAGGCTCCAAAGTGAGGGCAAAAAGCAGGGGTGAGAGGGGGTACCCCTGCCTGGTACCATTTGCAATAGGGAAAGGATCCAAAAGGATGCCATTTACTTTAACAGAGGTCATTGGTAAGGTGTAAACACTGGAGATCCAATTGAGCATGTTGTTTCTGAGGCCGATATAGTGTAAAACAGCCAACATAAACTGCCAGTTTCTTTGGTCAAAGGCCTTTTCAGCATCTGTACCCAGAAAAATACAGGAGGTATTGGTCAGGCTGGCCGTATGAATTAATTTCTTCACCTTGAGTGTTATCTTGAGCCTCTCGGCTGGGGATAAACCCTACTTGGTAGAGATGGACTAGCTGTGGTAAATGTTGCTGAAGTCTTGTGGCCACTACCTTAGTGAAAAGTTTCAGATCAATATTCAAAAGAGAGATTGGCCAGTAACTACCGCAAGACGAGAGATCCTTCCCCTCTTTTGGTAGAACAGTAATATGAGCTTTCAGGACATCTGGGGGGAAAGAAGCTGAGTCTTTAAATGCATTAAGCATATAAGGGCCTAGGTTGGGAAGTATCGGTTTATAATATTGAACAGTAAGGCCATCTGGGCCCAGTGCTTTACCTGACGAATCAAGGAGGGCAGTCTGGGCATACAGGAGGATGTTAGATAGCTCTCTACTTGGACAGAAGAGGCAGATGCAGTGTGCAAACTATATAAAGAGGAGTAAAATTATCCAAATGTTTAAGCGATATATTTGGGCTGAGAGGCCTACTGACCATCCATTCGCGTAATATGGAGAACACAAGTCTCCGCCCCTTGATCTTGTAAAGATTTGGCCAAGAGTCTACTGCATTTATTGCCAGATTTGTAGAAGACACGTCTACAGGTTTGAACTGCGGCTTTGGCTCTGAACCGTGAGAGGTCTGTTACTTGTTTCCGGAGGTGTGGTAGTTCCCTTTCTAAAGCTTGGGTGCAAACGTACTTTGTGAAGATCCCCACCATTAACATCCTTGCATTTTGTGACACATATTCATTATGCTATGTGAATAGGCCCCACTGTGTCACACAATTCACACAGCCTGCTTTATAAACTACAGAGGTGCTAAGAGGAAAAGTGCAATATGAACATTTCCCCATGTTTTGTCTTTAAATACACTGCAAGTACAGAAAAATATGTATTGATCCTGCCAGAAATCCATCAAGTTCCTAACTTCCTGTACTGAGCTGAAAATAATTAACTGAGTTCATTGCACATGGCAGGGTAGACTTTGGCATAAAGTTTTTAAATTATGCAATATATTTATATATATAATATATAAATGATGCAAAGGTTTGCATAGCAAAGTGACTAATCTCTTAGCTTAAAAATAAGATGCCTTTGAGGCAGTTCTGAACATCAACCTCCTTGTCTTCATGGGCTTCAAGCCTCTGAGGCTCAGAAAGCTGAACTTATGAAATAATACACTGGAGAGTCCGGAGAAGGTCCCATAATTCAGCATTATTACAGTGAAGTAAGTTCCAGGTCCTTGACGCTGATAACTTCTGGAAGACTGAAGGACCTCATTCTAGAACCAAAGCAGGATTGGCAGGATATCGATTTCTCTGCTTGCTCTTTTGGTTGTGGAAGATCATCCGCAGGGGAAACAACTTTAAGCAGCCTCTGATGAAATTAATAAATGAGTCAATGTTAAGAATAGCTTTTTCTATATCTGTTTTTCTTTTAATGTATACATTTTTTTTTGTTAAAGGATAAGTTCACCTTTGGGAACATGTTACATGTCCTACCTGTTTTTAGGGTGGAACATGTAACTTGTTCCCAGTGCTGCAGTCGCTGCCCGATCCCCCTGTTACAACAGTACAGGAGAAGTTCCCCGTACAAGCTGTCACTTTTCAAAAACAGCACGGCCCTATGGGGCTCCGCTCACACGGACGCATTATTCATTCACAGAGTTATGTGAATTAATGAACTACAAGTACCAACATCCTTTGCAGATGTCGGCTTGTAGTTCTCAATTGTCTACCAAGGGGCTGAGGAGTTCATTAATTCTTTTTGGCAGTGTATCTGTGTGCCTGTACGGGATGTACGGGCAAGCAGATCTACGGAGAGATCCGCAAGAGACCTGCATGGCACCAGCGATCTGCTGATCGCTGGTAAATTGATTTACAAGCTCCTGCAACAAAAAAAAATTATAAATGCATTTACCTCCTAGTTTATGTAATATGTTTTGTCAAAAGGTAAACTTATCCTTTTAACATTATGGATCATTCTTGGATTGCTATAGGTTGTCTAAATAGAGCACAACAACAAAAATTATCTCCTTCCAGGTAGGCTTTTAACAGATAAAAACATGTGCTGCATTAAATTAAACAATTACAGGAAGTAAGTATGCTCCTGCCAGTACATTGAATGGTCCTCGTGGATCATGTGACAGTGTTGAGATAATCAAATGAAAGTAATAGAATTAGGTTTCCACAAAGGAACGACACAAATCACATTTGGGGAATAGTTCATTCACTTACCTCCATGAAGGATCCGTCCGTCTTGAGTAGGATATAAATTGCCCACACAGGGATGCAGATCATGGAGGCAATAGCCATGAGCCAGCCAATGGCATAACCCCATGGCGGGTACACATATATATTATTGTACTTCAAGGGCATGTACTTGATCACAGAAAAAAGGAATGTGCCCTAAAAAAAAAAAAAGAAAGAGCAAGAAAACCAATCAGAGAAGAGAGTACTGCATCCCTCAGGGGTGGGATTAATTCCCCATTGAGTCTCTACTGTTTTCACTTTGTCCAAGGTTGGTAGTTAGTATTTTCATTTACTGTGTAGGCATATTTAACAACCATAGACAGTGCAGCCACAGTTCAAACAAAGATATCAGAAGACCAATAAAGTGTTTTTACACTGAGTAGCCATTTTATTTGGTACCTATCTAGTATCTTACGGGACCCATTTTTGCCTTAAAACCTGATTCTTTTGCTGCATTTGCTGGATTCAACAAGATGCTGGAGAAGTTCTTTAAGGGTACTGTATGCTTTGGGGGACAAAGAGGGGCATTTGCATTTTCTAGAATTCCTGAAATTAAGGTTCATATTAAAGGCCACATACCAGGCATATGGCTGGGGTCACTGCCATCCAGGAGATCTTCATCAAGGGCCAGGGCCGATAGCCAATCATGTCCTGGATATTATCATAGAAGCGGTCTGCCCCTGCATCATCACATCAGGGTTAATGAGAGAAAGAGAAAAAGGGGAAAGTGTTATTGACTCAACTGTACTCAAGATGATATTATGCTCAATTCACAAATGTGTTATTTTCCATTTCTTTCAGTATTTAGTGCCATGTCACTTTTCAGCTCTCATTGGCTCTCCGTGGGGACTACAATGGCCACTAAAGAAAATAAAGCTGGTTATAGTCGAATGAATTAAGCCTAAAATTTCTAACAGGTACGTCAGTTAAAGTGGTTGTAAACCCTTACTTATACTCATGAAGTGACTGGCCTCATGTGATACACAAAGATTAAACAAATCCTCCTACATAAGTTGTACCTGTCTATCTGCAGTCTTTTCTTCTCTACATCTGTTCAAAGTGCTGAGTTTATGAAGCTTGTCTGAGAGTTCAGAAAAAAGGAGGTGGAGAGCTGAAATTACACTCTGCAGAGCTCAGTGAGGAGAGCTCTGAGAGCTGATTGGAAGGAAGGGACACACCCTCCTTCACACAGCTCACAGGAACAGAGCTGAGGCTGTCAGTTTCCTGGAGTTCCTTTCCCATGTCATCTTTTTTCTCAGTGTCAGGAAAACTTGTCAGAAATGACTCATGTTGATAGCAGAGAAATGAAGCAGAAGACAAAAATGACACTTAGTGCTCTTATTTGAGACAAGTACACACTATATAGGGATACATTTTGTTCATATTTCACGTCTGAGGTTTACAGCCAGTAAGTAAGAAAAAGCATATTTTCAAGCAATAAAGATGCATATTTGTGAATTGTAAAATCTTTAGTTTTTTTCAATTCTACCAATATTCCCCATGGCTTCTTTATCGAGCAGTACATGACTCCTATTTTCTGAGCATGACTTAATTTATCCAGGTGTGTTTCCCTGTCATCCTGACACATGCCTGAACTCTGTGTGTGAGTTGGGCCCCTTTCACACAAGTGGGTCTTCCTGTCTGTTTTTCAAGTGGACCCGACCGGACGTTCGATTGCTCCCTATGGAGCGGCGGGTGTAAATGGATGTGTTTATAACTGCCTGCATCCGATTTGATCCTGTCCACTAAAAGCAGATGGATGGGGATCCTTTCTCCATCCGTCTGGCAGATCGGATAGGATGATATTCGGATGGAAATGGACAGGTGGTCCGTTTCTATCCGACAGCCCATAGAGGATAGCGGGCTGTGCTTTTCTTATGCACAGCGGATACGGACCTGTCATTCGCTTGCTTAGCACGGATCAGCGAGCAGATCCCCCGCTGTGTAAGCAGATCAGCTGACAGGTCTTCCCCATGTGAAAGGGCCTTAAACTCTTCTACCAGCCTCTCCCAGTGCCTGAAATAGTCTGTAAGCGTCTAGTCAATGAATTTAGTCTCACCAGGACAAGGAAGGAGTCATTTCACGCGTCTCTGCTCTCTTTCTTGCTTTTGCATTGGCAGGTCACGCACTTTTATTTTTTCACTTTGTGTGAAATATATATTGGTTTGCAGGAGATAAGGACAGTTTAACATAAAGAAGGATAACATTTTATGTAGTGCACTTAAAATTTAGTCATCTTTCAGAAAAAAATTTTTTTCCCCTTTCCATATAAAATTTTCCATCACTCTTGTGTATACAAACATTAGAGAGAAACACAGTAAAATATATTTTACGGGACAGACAGTTTAGTAAAGATAGTACAACTAATAGATAATAGTTTGTCAGTGTCATATTCACTTTTATGTAAAAACATAGAAGACAGACAATATGTACAGCAACCAATAGGATGTAAGCTTTTTTTTCCAGATGAGCAATTAGAACAAAGAAAGACAATTGAGGATTGGGTGCTGTGGGTTATGCCTCTTGGTATAATATTGACCCACATACTGTAATGATACTCACCATATACCCAGCCGATGCAGATACACTCAAATATCCCCACAAAGAGAAGGCAGATTCCACTGCTGGAGTAATAATCGAATAACTGGAAGATATACATACCTCCCTGCAGATTATACAAAAGCTGGCTGGTTAAAACAAACTATGCATGAACAAATAACATTCTAACAATCCACACTAAACATTTGCCATTGTAAAGCAACTGATATGTATGTAAATAAAAAAAGATTAGTCCCACCCACTTTACGCTGCCAATTTAGTTTGGCATTCAGTGAATTCCAGATTGTTAAAACAGTCCAATTTCAGCAGAGATCCCAACCAGCAGGTCATGATGTGATGATGTGATATTGCAGTAAAGATCTCCATAGGTAACTCAAATTTCAGCCAATGCTTGCTGAATACAGAGCCATGAGTGGCCCTGTAGGCACTGCCTTCCATAGCAAAAGAGTGTTTGCAAAATTGGCTGAGCTAGGTGAAAAATGATCAGATGTAGTTGCTGCTCAGGTGAATAATATGTCCATACTATGGGGTTGATTAACTAAAACTGGAGAGTGCAAAATTTGGTGCAGCTGTGCATGGAAGCCAGCAATCAGCTTCTAACTTCAGCTCAACTGTTCAATTAAAAGATAAGTTCACCTTTCATAAAATGTTACACTCATATTCAGGGTATAACATGTAACATGTTATGGATACACTGGCCCCCTCTTTGACAGCTAGCGAGGGATCTTCTCTCCCCCCGCTTGCTGTCATATTTTTAAAAAACGGGGCTGTACAGGCAAGTAGATATACTGACAGGTCTGCAAGAGACCTGCATGGCACCAATAATCTGCTGATCGCTGGTGCAATGGTTTCTAAGCTCCTGCAACCAAAAATAATAAATGCACATTTTTTTGTACCTACTTTTATTATTTTTGGTAAAAAGGTGTACTTATCCTTTAAGCTTTGACCAAAAGGAATTGGAAGCTGGTTGGTTTCTATGCACAGCTGCACCAGATTTTGCACTCTCCAGTTTTAGTAAATCAATCCCTATAGCTTTAGTATAGATGGGGGAATTGACTGATATTATCTCGAGAAACAATTGAGCCATGTATAGCAGCCTTTGGTTCTCAGACAGCATGCAGAACAAACAGCCAAAAGTCAGATACAGATGAGGGACATGTACAATCAGAGAGATTGACTTGTTTACCAGGAAGTGTCTGAATGTCAAGCAGTCTTCTTAAGCACTTCCTTAAATAGGACAGGTGTGCACTTTAGATACCTTAGCTGTAGTGCTGAGCAACAACCAGCATATAACAAAAGCTCAATCAAAAAAATTGTTACAGCTGGGCAGTAAATACTAAAATTCTGAGTCTGTTTTTAAACCCCCCCCCCCCCCTTTATCACTACTAACTTACCTGAGTCACAATAAAAAGTCCCATTAAGTAGCAGATGACACATATAGCCAGAATCAGCAGCTCTCTCCGGTAGCCCTTACGCAAAACAGTTGGGTACATATCTGTGATGGCCAAGCACAGTGCCTCAACGTAAATGAACTGCACAAAAACGAGAAAGGAAAACTATCTAAAAAAACTGATTTAAGCAAATGTAGTAAACCATAATTTTCTAACCCACTATAGAAAATGTGCATTTTTATGAATGCTGTTGGCTAGACATGCTTCTTTTATTTACTATTATTATTTATTTCAGGTACTTGTATAGCACTGTCAATTTACACAGCGCTTTACATATATATTGTACATTCACATCAGTACCTAACCCTCAAGGGGTGTACAATCTAAGGGCCCTAACTCACATTCATACATACACATACTAGGGCCAATTTAGACAGGATCCAATTAACCTACCAGCATGTCTTTGGAGTGTGGAAGGACACTGGAGTACCTGGAGGAAACCCATGCAGGCACAGGGAGAACATGCAAGCTCCAGGCAAGAGGTGCCGTGGCTAGGATTCGAACCATGACCCTAGTACTGCTAGGCGGAAGTGCTAACCATTTAGCCACTGTGCTGCCCCGCCACTGTGCTGCCCCACTTTTGCTCGGTGTTAAAAGTCATGATCAGATTGAGCAATGACAGTTTTGTGATCATAGGACCCCTACAGTGTTTATACAAATGGCATCATACCTGGCTGTCCAGACCAAGCAGGATAATCATGATGAAAAAGAGGCAGGACCAGAGTTGTGAGACGGGCATCATAGTCACCGCTTTGGGGTATGCGATAAAAGCCAGTCCTGGTCCTAATGGCAGACACATAATTTCACTCTCAGGGTATTTATTAAGGTCAATAAAATATTATATTTTTGTTCCACAACACAGTTTCCTATTTCATCACTAAAACCAGCCTGATGTTCTCCAGTTTATACAAAACTGACTCGGAAATGTAGGATGTTAAAGTGGGGAGTGAAAAAAGACCGACTGGTAAAAAAACAAGGCAATTCATTTTTCATTTACCATAAGCAGACCTGCCATAGGATATATATATTTTGCTATTAAATCTGTAAGTGTAGCACTTCCAAATATGTGTTACCTTTCACAGAGATCACAGTGCTCCTCTGACAATGTCTTCATCTGCTTTTCTTTTCAGAAAGGTCATGCCATTTTTGTGCAGGCATCAAACAGGGCAGGGGTCTCCAAACTACGGCTGGAGGGCCAGATGTGGCCCTTTGCTTGCCTTTATCTAGCCCTTGGGGCACTATTCCTTCTACTGATACCAGGCACTATTCCTCCCACTGACACCAAAAATAGGGCACTGACACCAGAAATAGGGAAACTAATTCTCACACTGACACCACTTATGGGGCGCTATTCCTCCCACTGACACCAACGATGGGGCACTACACTTCTCACTGACACCAATGATAGGGATGATGTAATTTTTTTTACTCCCTCATCACCCCTATGAAATTGTTTACACCCAGCGATGCATCCATTGGCCTCAGTCTGGCCCCCCTAAAGTTTGAAGGGCAGTAAACTGGCCCTTTGTGTGAAGACCCCTGATCCAGGTTCATCATCTTTCTCCTTTTCTCCATCTTTCTGAGATGCCGGCTCAGAGATGACACAATCATGTAAATCCTGGTGCCTGTGCAGTTCGTGCCTATGTTTCACAAATGTCTGACACAGACCCAGCCCCTATTTCAGCCTCCCATTGTGTGGCAAAGTTGCAATATTGCAGGCTGAGAGGAGAGGAGAAATGCTTCATCCTGCCTGTAGCAGAAGAATGCCATTATCTCTGCCTAAGCAAAGTCAATGGACTAATGCTCAAGCATGACTTTTTTTAATGACAAAAGGTGGAGCTTTTCTGAAAAATGATACTGTTACTGTATACTGTGACAAGTGACAGGAAGGTATTTATTTATTCATTCAGGCTTGTAAAAATACTGACAGGTCTACTTTTAAAGGGAGCCCCATCTTGCTCGGCGCACAATTTTCAGTAGTTCAGTTACCTGTATAAAAAGTGTAACATACGGATAAAATGTATCATCACTGGGAGGCTTAGAACTGTAAGCTCATAGCTCCATCTAGTGAAACACTAGACTTTAACATTTTATATATATTCTAATCCTTTTTCACACATTTTAAGCAAACATTTAATGAGGTCATTAATTAGCCAATACAGCTTTGTTCCTACAGTCATGCCAGTACTGGAGGGTTGCATCATGTATGCCTTACCTGACTCTGCCACCATTGAGACGGGCACACCTTGCTCCTGTGCCATGAACCCCAGGACAGAGAACATGGCAAATCCCCCAATGAAGCTGGTGACACTGTCCAAGAAACACAAAACAGATGCAGTCTCTGCAGAGGTAAACATGGGTGGAAAAATTGATGGATAATTTTAGCAATGTACATCTGACATATGTGTTATGTACATTCCTGGTCTGTCTCATAGTTTCTGTTCTCTCTTGTGGGTAGCACAGTGGATAAGTGTAACCTTGCCATGCTTGACTCCTTGGTTCAGTTTCTAATTGAAGAAGCAGCAGCATCAGAGAGATTAGGTAATCCCTCTGCTCTCTCCTCCTGTCAGCATGTTCTTAGTCAGCACATGTCAATACAGGACACCTGATTGGCCCTAATTACTGCCTCTTCTGTGTCCAGTAGTGTACAGAGGAAACTAAAATCAACTTAAACCAAGGTATTTATACTAGCTGTACTTAAAATATAATTTTTAAATAAATACATGACCACAGTACATTAAATAGTGATATTTAAAATCTGCCTGGGGTTCCTCTTTAAAGGAGCAATGTGAAAATAGAATTATATAAAAATACATATGTAATGAAGGTATGTGTGTGTTCTAGGACCCAGCTCCTGGTAAGATCTTCTTGCAGAGTATAATTGCATACATTCTCTTATTTATACCTGTAACAATTGTAGTTATAGGGATTATAGCTTCCAATACCGACAGTAAAGCCCATTGTGATGGCATAGGAGTAAAAGATTTGCGTGCCAGCATCTATCCACACCTAGAGGGAAACAAAAAAATCTTCAAAGTATCAACCACTAGAAGTTAGCATACTGATTATACATGACAAAAAAGAAAAAGTAACTTCAGGAAAACACGCAAAATTCAGTAAGCAGAAGCTTAGTCTTTTATGCTTAATTATGGTGAAACTCAAGTTTAATTGCCCATTTAAAAAAAAAAAAAAAAAAAAAACAGCTCTCAAAAAACCCATCTCCTATTCTGTACTGCCCTCTCCAAGGTCCAGGGCTGCTAGTATTTTTTTGTTAAATTATAGCCAGCTATTCAACCCATTTCCTGTGAGCCCAGGCCATCATGAACCTGCCCTATGAGCGTGTGTTATCCACTCCAGGCTGGGCCCCCAGGAGAATGCTGAGAGAGTAGCTTGATACTGTTACAGTACATGGTGCTGCTATCTGCAGCCTTTTGCAATCACCCAGCACTAAAGAAAGAGGACCTGTGACATCACAACCTGACTGGACTGAACAGTGCTAAAAATATATATATATATATATATATATATATATATAATATATATATATACACATATACACACACACATATATATATATATATATATATATATATATATACACACACACACACAGCAGGTAAAATTAGTATGAAATTTAATATGAAAGATATGGCAATAATATAATATGAAAATATGAAATTTTCACCACATGCTGGTAACAACCCATGCAATCCATACATGCAAAGAAACCAAAACAAATAAGTTCATAAATTAAGTTATGTGTACTAAATGGAATGACACAGGAAAAAAGTATTGAACACATGAAGAAAGGGAGGTGCAAAAGGGCATGAAAAGCCAAGACACCAACTGAAATCTATCAGTAATTAGAAAGCTAACCTGCCCCTTGTCAGTGCAAATTAATATCAGGTGGTTCAGTCTCAACAAATGGCCTATAAAAAGGTGTCTCATTACCAAGGTGGCACACAAGAAACATCTTACGATTGGTGATGGCAAAGAGCTCTCTCACCATAAACCGGCCACGACCAGGTGCTTCACAAGATTTCTGACAGAGGAGTGAAAAGAATTATCAGAAGAGTTGTGCAAGAGCCAAGGACCACTTGTGGAGAGCTTCAGAAAGACCTGGAAATTAGCACGTACAATTGTTTTAAAGAAAACTATAAGTAATGGACTCAACTGCCATGGCCTGTATGCACACTCACCGCGCAAGACTCCATTGCTGAAGAAAAAGCATGTTGAAGCTAGTTTAAAGTTTGCTGCACATTTTTGGACAAGCCTGTGTGAATTACTGGGAGAATATAGTCTGGTCAGATGAGACCAAAATTGAACTCTTTGGCTGCCATAATACACACCACCATGTTTGGAGGTCAAATGGCACTGCACATCACCCCAAAAACACCATCCCAACAGTGAAGTTTGGGGTGGGAACATCAATGCTAAAAAAATATATTTTATATATATATATTATATATATATAGATATACAGTCAGGTTCATAAATATTGGGACATGGACACAATTCTAACATTTTTGGCTCCATACACCACCACAATAGATTTGAAATGCAACGAACAAGATGTGCTTTAACTGCAGACTGTCAGCTTTAATTTGAGGCTATTTAAATCCAAATCAGGTGAACTGTGTAGGAATGACAACAGTTTGCATATGTGTCTCCCACTTGTTAAGGGACCAAAAGTAATGGGACAGAATAATAATTATAATTCAAACTTTCACTTTTTAATACTTGGTTACAAATCCTTTGCAGTCAATTACAGCCTGAAGTCTGGAACGCATAGACATCACCAGACGCTGGGTTTCATCCCCGGAGATGCTCTGCCAGGCCTCTACTGCTGCAACTGTCTTCAGTTCCTGCTTGTTCTTGGGGCATTTTCCCTTCAGTTTTCTCTTCAGCAAGTGAAATGCATGTTCAATCGGATTCAGGTCAGGTGATTGACTTGGCCATTGCATACCATTCCACTTCTTTCCCTTCAAAAACTCTTTGGTTGCTTTTGCAGTATGCTTTGGGTCATTGTCCATCTGCACTGTGAAGCGTCCAATGAGTTGTGAAGCATTTGGTTGAATATGAGCAGATAATATTCCCGAAACACTTCACAATTCATCCGGCTGCTTTTGTCAGCAGTCACATCATCAATAAATACAAGAGAAGCAGTTCCATTGGCAGCCATACATGCCCACGCCATGACACTACCACCACCATGCTTCACTGATGAGGTGGTATGCTTAGGATCATGAGCAGTTCCTTTCCTTCTCCATACTCTTCTCTTCCCATCACTCTGGTACAAGTTGATCTTGGTCTCATCTGTCCATAGGATGTTGTTCCAGAACTGTGAAGGCTGTTTTAGATGTCGTTTGGCAAACTCTAATCTGGCCTTCCTGTTTTTGAGGCTCACCAATGGTTTCCATCTTGTGGTGAACCCTCTGTATTCACTCTGGTGAAGTCTTCTCTTGATTGGTGACTTTGGCACACATACACCTACCTCCTGGAGAGTGTTCTTGATCTGGCCAACTGTTGTGAAGGGTGTTTTCTTCACCAGGGAAAGAATTCTTCGGTCATCCACCACAGTTGTTTTCCGTGGTCTTCCGGGTCTTTTGGTGTTGCTGAGCTCACCGGTGCGTTACTTCTTTTTAAGAATGTTCCAAACAGTTGTTTTGGCCACGCCTAATATTTTTGCTATCTCTCTGATGGGTTTGTTTTGTTTTTCAGCCTAATGATGGCTTGCTTCACTGATAGTGACAGCTCTTTGGATCTCATCTTGAGAGTTGACAGCAACAGATTCCAAATGCAAATAGCACACTTGAAATGAACTCTGGATCTTTTATCTGCTCATTGTAATTGGGATAATGAGGAAATAACACACACCTAGCCATGGAACAGCTGAGAAGCCAATTGTCCCATTAATTTTGGTCCCTTAACAAGTGGGAGGCACATATGCAAACTGTTGTCATTCCTACACCGTGCACCTGATTTGGATGTAAATACCCTCAAATTAAAGCTGACAGTCTGCAGTAAAAGCACATCGTGTTTGTTGTATTTCAAATCTATTGTGGTGGTCTATAGAGCCAAAAATGTTAGAATTGTGTCCATGTCCCAATATTTATGGACCTGACTGTATATCCTAGATTGTAAGCTCCAAGGAGCAGGGCCCTCCTATCCCTCTTGTATTGAACTGTATTGTTGCTGTATTGTCTCTTGTTATATTGTAAAGCGCTGAGCAAACTGTTGGCGCTATATAAATCCTGTATAATAATAATAATATATATATATATACACACACACATATATATATATACACACTATATTGCCAAAAGTATTGGGCCGCCTGCCTTTACATGCACATAAACTTTAATGGCATCCCAGTCTTAGTCCGTAGGGTTCAATATTGAGTTGGCCCACCCTTTGCAGCTATAACAGCTTCATCTCTTCTGGGAAGGCTGTCCACAAGGTTTAGGAGGGTGTCTATGGGAAGGTTTGACCTTTCTTCCAGAAGCACATTTGTGAGGCCAGACACTGATGTTGGACGACAAGGCCTGGCTCCCAGTCTCCGCTCTAATTCATCCCAAAGGTGTTCTATCGGGTTGAGGTCAGGTGTGCAGGCCAGTCAAGTTCCTCCACCCCAAACTCACTCCTCCATGTCTTTATGGACCTTGCTTTGTGCATTGGTGTGCAGTCATGTTGGAACAGGAAGGGGCCATCACCAAACTGTTCCCACAAAGTTGGGAGCATGAAATTGTTCAAAATGTCTTGGTATGCTGATACCTTAAGAGTTCCCTTCACTGAAACTAAGGGGCCAAGGCTGATTCCTGAAAAACAACCCCACATCATAATCCCCCTCCTCCACCAAGCTTTACACTTGGCACAATGCAGTCAGGCAACTACCGTTCTCCTGGCTATTGCCACACCCAGACACATCCATCAGATTGCCAGACAGAAAAGCATGATTCGTCACTCCAGAGATCACATCTCCACTGCTCTAGAGTCCAATGGCGGCGTGCTTTACATTACTGCATACGACGCTTTGCATTGCACTCGGTGATGTAAGGTTTGGATGCAGCTGCTCAGCCATGGAAACCCATTCCATGAAGCTCTCTACACACTGTTGTTGTGCTAATCTGAAGGCCACATGAAGTTTGGAGAGTCTTTAGCTATTGACTCTGCAGACAGTTGGCGACATTTGCGCACTTCAGCATACGCTGACCCTGTTATAATACCACTTACAGTTGATTGTGGAATATTTAGTAGCAAGGAAATTTCACGAATGGATTTATTGCACAGGTGGCAACTTATTACGGTACCACGCTTGAATTCACTGAGCTCCTGAGAGCGACCCATTCTTTCACAAATGTTTGTAGAAGTAGTCTGCATGCCTAGACCTTGATTTTATACACACTGTGGCCATGGAGGCTATTGGAACACCTGAATCCCATGATTTGGTGGGGTGTCTCAATCCTTTTGGCAATACAGTGTATATATATAGTATACACAGAGTATATATACACTCATTGGCCAGTTCACTAGGCACCCCTGTTCAATTGCTTGGTAAAACAAATTGCTAATCAGCCAATCACATGACAGCAACTCAATGCATTTAGGCATCTAGATGTGGTGAAGACAACTTACTGAAGTTCAAACCGAGCACCATAATCGGGAAGAAATTGGATTTAAGTGACTTTGAATGTAGCATGGTTGTTGGTGCCAGACGGGCTGGTCTGAGTATTTAAAAAACTGCTGATCTACTGGGATTTTCATGCACAACCATCTCTATTATATTGTTTTTTTTTAATATACAAAGGGTGTGGGAAGTGCTTCAAGGTGGGAGCAATGGGGGCTGAAAATTTGGCTGCACAAGATGGAGTTCAGCTTTAAGGATGTGAGAAAATTATCACCAAAAGTGGTGTAAATCATAGTCACATGACACATTTTTAAATATTTATTCTTATGCATTTTTAATATTGTTTTAAATATAGAGATTTGTATATCCCCCACTAAAGAGAGTTTTGAAAGCCACATAAAAACCTCCATCTGTTCTGAACCACCTAAATGTATTTTTCTGTTGTTGTTTTTTGAACTGTATCAGGTTACTACTGTTTGATGTATGCTGGCATCTAGTGGCAGTTTTGGGCCACTACACTTATTTACTCTGAAATTTGGTATTTTGTTCGGTCCCGCCCCGTTTAGTGTTAATTCAACCCTAGCTAGACCCTCTCTATTTCTTCCATGTTCCCTCAGTCAGTGTTAGTTCTTTACAGAGACATAGCTTAACAAAGTCTTTGTTTTCGTACATTTCAAAAGACCAAAAAAAATCCACTAAACTCCAATTATCTGAAGTAAAATTGCATTGGATTTATTATCTTATTAAAGAGTTAAGCTGGCTGTTGATGCTGCCAAGTCAGCAGGTGACCATGCTGCCTGGACAGACTGGGTTTATAAATGTATGTGATTGCATAAAGCAGCATTTGGATCAGAGCAGTTTCTTTCTCAACAGCTGTTGAGATCAGATATCAGCCACTTGGTGGGTGCATTGTTTTCAAAGTCAGCTAATTCATAAGCATGTAACATGAGAAATAGCAGTAAAGCACAGCCATTTTTTAATGCTGCAAAGTAGAAGGCAGACCCTGAGCATTTACTGAGCAAATATGAGCACATTTACATGTATAAATACAAATACATAGAATTAAATTATTTTAAAAAAATCAGTATGGTTATTTGCATCGTGATGGTTACACAGATCTACAGTATATATTAAAAAAAACTGAAAAGGCTGTAAATCCTATATAAGGACATGTGTTTGCAGCTCACCTGAGGGTCCTTAAGCCGAGAAAGTATCCGGGTATATATATAGTACTTTATCCCATCATACGCTCCAGGGAGCGTGACCCCTCGAACAAGCAGGATAACCAGCATAAGAAAAGGGAAAGGTGGAGGTGAAATATACGACCTGCCCACAGACATTGGAAGCAGATGGTAAAAATGCAATAATGATGTTCTATTATCAAAGATGTCTTTCTAAAGATTAATGAAATGTCATCTTGTAATAATAACCACATTGTATGTCAAACATCCAACAACTATAATTTTACACTGGAGCGTTTAAACAGTCACATCACCTAGAAAGTGACACTGTGAAAGGTGCCAGCAAAGCTAAAGAATTCTTTTAAAAAATAAATTAATATCTATTTAACCACTTGACCACCGGATGATTTACCCCCTTCACGACCACAGCATTTCTTTTACTATTTGGCACTGCACTTCTTTAATTGGTAATTGTGCGGTCATGCAACACTGTACCCAAATGAAATTTATATAATTTTTCTATTCTAATAAAAAATATCTGTTATTTCCTACTACAAACCATATCCAATAAAAAAAAATAAAATCTCTTCATAAGTTTACACCTAAATGTATTCTGCTGCATGTCTTTGGTAAAAACAAAAATAATTCCAATAAGTGTATGTTAATTGGTTTGTGCGAAAGCTATAGCATCTAGTATGATATATATATATACTGGAATTTACGCCGTTATGACACTGTACTGGTAATGGCGGTGATCAGCAACCTATAGTGGGACTGTGATAGTGTGACAGGCAATCTGGTACTACCCGATGCTGGCTGGGAGGTATACTAACTGACTAACTGACACTGGCATCAAAAGTGACACTAATACAGTTATCACATGTAATACTGTACACTGAAACTCTAATAATTACACTGGCACGGAAGGGGTCAACATCTAGGGGAAATCAAAGGCTTAATTGTGTGCCTACCAATGTGTGATGTGTGTAATTTTACTTTACTATATAGCAGTTTTTTCTCCCTGCTATGCATTCCCTGTATATAGAGTTCTGTGTGTTTGTTAACACAGAACTCTCTAAGTGATTGGACACAGCTGATTTCAGCTGTAATCATTGGCTGAAATCAGATGCCAGACTCATGCTGTGTCCAATCACAGAATAGGTCAGCAGGGGTCATGCGCACACATGCATGCCCCAAACTCTGTGTCAGGGAGTGCTCAACAATGGCTCTGAATTCCGGGAGCTGTGAAATCACTCATAGGCTCCGTAGCTCTGCTGTAGTCAGCGCTCTATCCTCTGCAGCAAGTGCTCACTGACACAAAAGAGCTATACCTGAGTAATCACGTGACCATACCAAAGTGTATTAGGTAATAGTTAAGTATACCTATCTTTTTATACAGGGTAGGCAGGATATGTAGGAAATGAGAACATTTTTAAGAAAAAAAATGATTAGGTTTTTTTTTTCATTAAAGGTAAAAAGAGCATCAGATGTTTTACAATTTATCTCCCAGGTTTTTACATGTGATCATAATGCAAGGTCTACATTCAACATATTCTACAGTACATGCCCCCAAGCAAAACACAAATATTATGGTTTTGAGTCTCCAATGTTCCCGATTGGTAGGGGTACTAGACAGGGTTGCCTGCTTTCCCCCATACTATTTATTTTGGCTTTGGAACCCCTTGCAGAAGCTATTTGTATGCATCCTGATATTAAGGGACTGGATGTTGCCGGTTCTCAGCATACATTATCCCTGTTTGCTGACGATATATTGTTGTCAGTTACAAATCCGGGGGTTACTCTGCCAAACCTACTCGCTGCTTTGGATTCCTTTGCTGCTCTCTCAGGCCTTCATCTCAACCCTGCAAAATCTGTTGTTACCCTTTCACCGTCGGTACTGGCGACTCTGAAACATTCGTTCCCTTTTCAATGGCTCTTGGTCTTGCCATAATTTGCGGATTAGGCTCACCCCAACTTACGAAGGACTTTATCGGACTAACTTCCCCACTGTTTTTTAAGGATTTGACAGAGAAGTTGTCCTCCTGGACTCATTTGCAGCTTTCATGGTACGGTAGAATCAATGCGATTCATATGACTTATCTCCCCAAATTATTGTACGTGTTTCGAGTTTTACCAGTCCCTGTCCCTTCACATATATTGCGTATTCATCAGCGGAAACTTCTGTCTTTTATCTGGGGCTCCACTCGACCCAGAAATAACAAACAGATTTTATTTGCCCACAAGACTGAGGGAGGGTTGTCCGTCCCGAATCTTCAGGCTTACTATTTAGCGGCTAATATTGCTCCCTTAGCCCATCTTCACGCATCTCGCAATATCCCCTTGTGGGCTACTGTAGATCTGATGGACTTCCACCCAATACCACTCCCTTCTTTGCCATGGCTTCCCCCTATTCATCGCCCTTCACCTCTTAATCCCGACGTTGACGCACAGGCTTCGACTGGATTCTATCAAATATTCTGCTGGTCTAGTTTCCGCCAATCTGCCTTTGCTGCGTTTGCTCCATAATCCATTATTTCCCCCGTGCCGTGACAATCCCAGACAGTTTGCATGTTGGCTAGCCCATGGCTTCCACCACGTGCATTCTGTGCTTTCTCCTCACTTATGAGACTCTGCATTCCTCTTATGATATTCCGTTGCGGGAGCACTTTGGCTACCTTCAACTCCGCCACTTTATCAATACATTAATACAGGTGCATTCAGGACCCTATAGGCTGACCCCCTTTGAAAGACTTTGTAGACATAGACCCCATGCCCCGGGCTTGATCTCTCTTGTCTATTCAGTTATTATTTCTTATAGAATGCCCCCGGTTCGTTCTTATCATCAGCATTGGCAGTCGGGGAGACTTGGCAGAAGTCAGGATCAGCAAGACTGGTGGATCATGACCCAAGCATTGTCTAAATGGTCTAGGACTGTTATTATTTTAGAAAATGCCTATAAGGTTCTTTATAGATGGTATTACATGCCTGCATGTCTGACTCATTTTATCTCCGCATACTCCCCTACTTGCTTTCGGGGTTGTCAACAAATAGGCACCATGGCCAATAGTTGATGGACTTACGTCAAGGTTTGCAGACTGTGGATCAGAGTTTATGCCCTTCTCCGCACTATGTTTCACACAAACATTAAGCGCAACTCATACGAGGAGCTATTATTTAAACCATTAGTGGGCCTATTTTTTTGAGGACACCGCTGGATCCCTGGACAGGTAAGTGTCCTTATATTAAAAGTCAGCAGCTACAGTGTTTGTAGCTGCTGACTTTAATTTTTTTTTTTTGGGGTGGGGGCGGGGGTTTAAGTTCATGATGAAGCAACAATGAGCTTATAGCACAGTGGGGAATGCTGCCGACAAGATAGAGCCCATTCACACTTGTGCGACTTTGGGGACCAAGGTTGCATGACAAGTCGCAACCATGTTTCCAAATGAATACCATTCATACCTGTGTGACTTCAAGTTGCAGCGTTCCTGCACTACTTTGGTCTGACTTTGGGGCCATAGATTTTAATGTAAACCCTTCAAAGGAGCATGAAAGTTGTACCTGAATTATATACATGGGACTGGTGTGCAACTTTGTACAGCACAAAAAATCATACTTTGTCAAAGCCAAAGTCGCACTCATCCAAAGTTGCGGCAAAGTCGCATCAAGTCACACAGAAAATCACACGATTTTGAAGTTGCACAAGTGTGAACGGAGCCTTAAGGAAAGTTGAAAAATAACAGAATTACTGGCTGGATCATCAGGTGAAAAAAAAACACATTTAAGGATTAGTAAACGGCAGTATATTAAATGCTTTGTTTTTGGGGTTAGACGTGCTTTAAGCCAACTCATCATAACATGTCTTGTAATACTTGGTCTATGACTGGAATTTGTGTGCAGTTTGGTAATGTCATGCTATCTAAAAAATTATAATTCTCACATGGTTTTGAACCAAGGTCTTGAAGCTCATACATTCCTTATTTGACTGCCGTTTCTCCAGAGATCCTTGGTACATCTTATTACACCTTAAACCCCTTGATTTTACGAAACCCCAATTCAAACTGGCAACCTCAAACATGGACCACTACGTTTTGTTAGTGCAAAACAGACTATTGCCAAAGCCTGGAAGAAACTATTTCTTTCCTTTGAAGAAGTTCGTCAGCGGGTCGACGGGTTCTTTATCAATGAGAAACCAACCAGCATCCTGCTGGACATGCAAAATAAATTCTCCTAGATATGGACCCCATAGATAAAATACGCCCATTCGCCACTGTCCATGGAGAGCTGCACCTCCTTGTAGCAGTCCAGCTTTGGGGTACTGGTTCTCAACATTCATTCCCTTCCCCTTCACTCCACCTCTCCTTCCAACTTTCCTACTGTGGACATCCTTCCTTCATCTTTCTTTCTTTTTCTTTTTTGTGGATCATGTTGTTTATTGAGACTTGATGGCTCAATGATACCTACTCTAACTTAGACTACAAGTCTTGTTTATTAAGCTCTTCCCGTCCAGCCCATGTCAATAAATGGCCAGATGGGAGCGCTGCCGGTGCAGGTGGAAATGTCCTCCCGTATCCATTGCGTGTGTGCACTTTCTGAGACCGCGCGGCACCGCGATTGGTGCCCGCTGTGTCTGGAGGACACAGCAGAACACAGACCGCTGTACAGGACCTCTGTGTGAGGTCCCGATTCATGTGCTCACTGATTGGCCAGTCAGTGATCACATGAATAGTAGTAAACAAGATGTCACTTCCTGACATCATTGCTTACTACTTGTGAAATCTGTGAATGATCACAGAGGTCACATGGTACAAGGCTATTCACAACAGTCTTGTACCATGTGACAAGCTGTGACCAATCACAGCTTGCACAGTATTTCTCAATGGCTACAAGAATGCAGCCAGAGAGAAGGAGAAATTATTGCTTTTACAGCTTTTATGGGTGTAAAAGCAGTCAGTGTAAAAAAAGGGAAAAAAAAAAACTTACTCGCCCCCCACAAGTAGTACAGTGTCACTATGGTGACACTGTACTGCTAGGGTGACTGTATGTTAAACATGAATATGAATAAATAAATAATATACAAAAATAAAATAAAATTGTAAAAAAATACATTTTAG